ATTCATCACTCAATTGGTTCAGATCTTTAGTTCGCTTCGGGATGTGTGCGAAGATTTGACCCCTTTTTACAAGAGATGGCTGACTCGCCGTTGATGTCGTGGTCACTGCAGTTGAACTCAATTTCTTTGTCTCCTTAACTGTTTCCTTAACTCCATTCACGTCTTTAGTGGTGCTCTCAATGGGTTTGTCACCACTTTTAGTGTCCCTTTCATCTGATTTAACCGATTGTTTGTCGATATTTGGACTCTTTTTAGTGACATTTAAACTCTGCTTCTCGTGACTCTTTGCATCACTTTTTGGATCATTTGATTGCTTTGCCATTCTTTGCACCTCTTGTTTGGCTCTTCGTTCGGCCTTTAGCTCAGATTTACTCTTAGTTTCCACATCTTTGGCGGTGATCTTCAGTTTGTCTTTGAATTGCATTTCCTGTCAAACAAATCATTAATTCATTACTAATTAGCCATTCATTAAGTCTTCAGTGAATTGCATACAAATTGAGCCTTTCGTTGGGCTTTGAGTAGCGCTTTGTTTCTCTGCTCTTCAGTCATCTCTTTGCCCCCTTTGGCCACACTTTCATCTGATTTGGGTTTTGGATTCATTTCCACAAGAATTCAATTGATTGCCAATTATTATAACAAATATAATCAATACTAATGAATGCAATGAGTATTTGATTGCATCAGACGTTTGCTGTACATTGAGTTGGATTCACACTTAGGGTTCGATATGTGTTTGTTTGAGGGAATACTGCCGGCAATACTGTATTATATTTTCAATTGTTGTTTCATAGATTCTAGCTAATTTATACTGTACTGTACTTTGTATCCTATACAGTGTAACGACAAATATAAGGTAATTTTCTACTATTAATTGTGTTTTATAGATTATAAATATAATAATTTCATGATTAATAACGGTAAGTACATTGAGAATGGTGTTTTGCAAAATAACTTTTGTTTCATAGGATTTAATGTTTAAAACAAAATTTTACATGAATTTACACATTTATAATTGTAATCAATAAGAATTATAATGATAATAAAAAATTCCTGAAATAGGTACTTGCTCATTTTGAATTCTCTTTCAAATCCAGTAATCAGATTAATTTTATCTAGCTTATTTTAGCTGCACAAACAATGATTATTCATTATCTTAAACGTGGTGTAGGGACATAAAGTCTTCAGGAGAATAATCAGGATCAAATTCTGTAAACTCGCTTTAAATGGACTAATTTGATCAAAGTCAGTTAGAAATAAATTGAGCTTACAAACACTAATATTGTTACTATGCATTTTTTGACCAAAACTAATGTACTTCAATGGAAAAACCTCTTTTATGTAAACTTAAATATGACAGTTACCATGGTAGTTTTTATACTATAAAAATTATTTTTACAATCCACAAAGTAGGGGCTATAAAACAGTGAAGAGAAGATTATACTGTAATTGGATTATCCGTTTTAGACTCTAAAATTTAGAGTATTAAATCTGTAACGAAAAAAATAGTTAATTCCATGATTATATATCTCGAACCCTACTCTATTTTATACCCTAATATTCATTTGTGTGAATGGCTATCAAATTGACAGTATATTATAGAATATTGGTCATCTAATGGTCATTCACACCCAATACTACTAAATTGAACAGATATAGTAAGTTCTAATTTGTATAAATGGATTATGTGTATAACATGTTGAGATTAATATATTAATATTGTACAGGTACATCTGTATATCATATATGAAATAAATAAAGGATAAATTGAGTTAAAATTAAAATATTTTATTGTTTTCTCAACAAATGTTACGTTAAATAATGATTAAAATATACAGTAACTCTGAATACATGTACA